AGGCCCCACGACCGGACCCCCCCTCCAAAAAAAAGGAACAAAAGTGAGGCTCTGATCACTTGTCATCAAGGTGCTTCTGGTTCTTTGGCAAAGGAAGAAAATATCAGCTCTGAGCCATTTCCCTGTGTGTGTGGATTAAATTCAGCTCAAACTTCTGGGTCAAAACCTTCTACTTTTCGACTACAAACTACCACTTTGAGAGGTGCTTATTTTCCTTTGTGTCTCTCCTTCCTTTTTTTTTTAAATTTAAATTGGCCTTAGGTAAATCACACAATTGTCTGCCTTCATTTATATATCTGTGAAATAGGAGATTACCTTTGGATTTATGCAAGTAACTTAGCTTATTGTATAACATTGAGAAAGAAAAAAAAATGTCATTTCAGTATTTAGAGTAGTGCCTTTCTATAATTCCAAATAGGTAAGATAGCCTTTTTTTAAACTTAGGTATGGTTTTATTATGAAACTGTTTGAATATGCTCCATTTCTCCCTCTTTATTTCAGAGATGGATGCAATATGTCTTCTGTGCTCTGAATATAGGGTATGATCTCAGAGTCCTCTGGTGCCAGCACAATCAGCCTGGAACTCATCCAAAAGTTCTTCGTGATTAAAGGTGCCATCTGAGCACACAATATTTTTTTAAAAGCTTGCAAAATGGAAACATACTCTTTTCTCTGAGGTCTCTAGTTTTAACATCAGGACTGACTTTACCCTTTGGGGAGGAATTCTACTGGCTCCAATACCCTTTTTCTCCTCTCATTATCTTCCATTGACCACTTGTCAACATAGCTAAATAAATTCACTTAATAAATGGGATCCCAGAAAGCTACAAATTATCTTTTGCAGATACCAGGCAACCTCAGACTATGTTTTGATGGAAAAATCTGCCTTTATAGTATAAAAAGGCTGTTAGTGCATCTTCTGCTAAGACATTTTACTTAGGACGTGAGATTCATTTCTTAAGATAACTGCCTAAAAAAAAAACACTGTTTTCCTGAACAACATTCCTTATATTTGACATTATATTTTACTTCCTATCATCTTTCTTTTCTTTCTTTCTTTTCTTTTTTTTTCTTTTTTTTTTTTTTTTTGTAGGTCATGGGGCTTGAACTCTGGGCCTGGGCACTGTCCCTCAGCTCTTCAGCTCAAGGCTAATGTTCTACCAATTGAGCCAGAATGCCACTTCTGGATTTCAAGTGGTTATTGGAGACTAGAGTCTCATGGACTTTCCTGCCCGGGCTGGTTTTGAAATGTGATCCTCAGATCTCAGCCTCCCGAGTGGCTAGGGTTATAGGCATGAGACACCAGCCCTATCATCTTTCTTAAGACTCAAATACTAAAGCCAAGCACATATTGCTCCTACTTATAATTCTAGCTACTCAGGAGTCTGCAATCACTGTTCAAAG